GCCACTCCATTTTTGTTTTTATTTCCAGAAGAAGAAGAAGTGTCTGCAGAGGTTTTTGTGTTGTTTCTTTCAGTAGTTCTTGGTGCAGCGCCCCCACAGGCAAGCGGGGGAATAGGTTGGTTCAACAGGTTGACTCGACTGCACAGTGCAATGTGAATGCAAACGCACCAGCTCAAATGTAAAAAAAAATGTAATGAATATTGGTCCCCAACCGAACCGAGTCTACCGGACTATCTAGTGTGAAAACAACCTAAGATAAAGTTTATAAAATGCCATCTGCTGGTTGATTCTTGATCTACAGCAAGAGCTGTACATCTCTCTCAGTACCTGTGTGCCGCCCGTCATGTTACAACATGAACACCTGCTTCATACACACAAGCTCAGTTTATATATTAACAAAATTCTTTTTTTTTTTATGTTGTGTGCGCAGCTTATTATACTCATGTGCACTCTATATAGTCCGGAAATTACGGTACAAATTTTGGTTGAGCTGATATTGTAGAATCTAAGAAACTTTATTAATTGGATAATCTGTTTTATAATAGGGCCCAAGCAAATATGTCTTTTAACTTACAACTGTGTTCAACAGAACTTACCATACCATACCATACCATACCAATTTATTTATAGAGCACTTAAAACAGCAACAAGGCCAACCAAAGTGCTGTACAAGAGAAAACAAACATGCACAGTGGACAGGAAAACAAAATAAAAATACAGATACAAATAGCAGCAGAAGCTAACTAAAATGGCCAACAGTGTAGAGTACAGACAGGACCAAAACAAATCACACCGTGTTAAAGGCAAGAGAATAGAAGTGGGTCTTCAAGCGAGACTTAAAGACTGAGAGTGTGGGAGCCTGCCGGACACTCAGTGGCAACTCATTCCACAGTCGTGGACCTGCAACAGAGAAAGCCCTGTCACCTCTGAGCTTACAATGGGTTTCTGGGACTGAGAAAAGCATCTGGTCTGCTGACCTCAGAGAGCGCGGTGGGACATATGGCTGCAGAAGATCAGTGAGATAGGATGGGGCGGAGCTGTTCAGTGATTTAAAAACATACATGAGAATTTTGAATTGGATCCGAAGGTGAATGGGTAGCCAGTGCAGGGAGGCCAAAACTGGCGTGATGTGCTCTCTATAGCCTGTACCAGTTAAAAATCGGGCTGCAGCATTTTGGACCAGTTGTAGACGTGAAATGGAGGACTGACTGATTCCAAACAGAAGTGAATTGCAGTAATCAAGCCTAGATGTTATGAAGGCGTGGATCACTGTCTCAAGGTTCTTTTTTGGAGAGTATAGGCTTCAGCTTAGACAGCCGTCTCAGCTGAAAAAAACAGGATTTGACCATCATGTTTACGTGACTGTTGAGTTTTAAGGACGGGTCCATTATCACCCCCAGATTAGTGACCTTCTGTTTCTCTAGCGGGGCTAGAGAGAAAAGGTCAATGTCATGGTTCATGAGTGAGCCACTGGGATGGAACAGCATGACTTCAGACTTCTTCTCATTGAAGCTTAAGAAGTTTAAAGCCATCCAGTCCCGGATGTCAGCCAGGCAGTCAAGAAGAGGCTGAATAGAGCGTGTGCCTCTGTGCCTCAGGGGGAAGTAAATTTGGCAATCATCAGCGTAGAAGTGAAAGGGTATGTTGTGTTTGCGGAAAATAGCACCTAGTGGCAGCAGGTATAAAGAAAAGAGAAGGGGACCGAGGATGGACCCCTGCGGTACCCCCCACTGGAGCGCTGTCGATGCCGAACTAAAATCTTTGATATTGACACAGAAGGTTCTGTCAGAGAGGTAGGACCCAAACCATTTAAGGGCTGACCCTGTGATGCCCACCCACTGCTCCAGTCTAGAAATGAGGACCTTGTGGTCGATGGTGTCAAAAGCAGATGTAAGGTCCAATAGGACAAGCAGCACAGAACCACCTGCGTCTGTGGATATGAAAATGTCATTAAAAACCTTCAGTAGAGCAGTTTCAGTGCTATGGAGAGATTTGAAGCCAGATTGGAATAACTCTAGGATAGCGTGATCCCCCAAAAACTGTTTCAACTGAGACTCCACAATTTTTTCCAGTAGTTTAGAGGTGAATGGGAGTCTGGAGACAGGCCGGAAGTTGGACATGACTGAGGGGTCAAGGTTAGGTTTTTTCAGGAGGGGCTGGACAGCAGCATGTTTAAAAGTTTTTGGCACCACACCTGAGGATAAACTGCTATTCAGAATAGCGAGAATAAAAGGACCCAGGGTAGGAAAAACTTCCTTTAGTAGTCGAGGGGGGGCCACATCAAAGGGGGAACCAGATGGATTCATGCTGCATGTTACCTGCTCCAGAGAAGACAGAGAGATGGGCTCAAAGTGGTCAAACACAGCCACACACTGAGATGGGATGGACAAATCATGAGCTGGTGGAGAAATGAGTGCCCGGGTGTTTGCCACTTTTTCTAAAAAGAAATGGAGGAAGTTTTCACACAGCTCAGTTGAGGCTTCCAGAGGTGAAGGCTCACTGAGGTGTAGCACTGAGTTCAGGGTGGAGAAAAGAACTCGGGGGTTGTGGGAGTTGGAGACAATTAAATCAGAGAAGAATTTACATTTGGCAGCTTTAACGGTTTTCTGATAGTGACGCCAACTCTCCCTTAACATTTGAAAAGAAACCTGCAGCCTGTCCTTCCTCCACCTTCGTTCAGCTCTGCGACACTGTTGCCTAACGGCTCGAGTGACGTCATTCAGCCAAGGTTCTGATCTAAGTTTCGTTTTTCTGGTTTTAAGGGGAGCAACACGGTCCAGAACATTTAAACAGGCAGAGTTGAACTGAGAGGTTAGCTCCTCAGTGGTAGGAGACACCGAGAGCTGTTCGATCCTCTCAGAGTTAAAACCTTCATTAAAATGAGCAGCAGTGAAATGGTTAATGAAACGCGTAGTACATGCAGGAACGCACGTCTTAGCCTTAGGACAAGGGGGGGTGAAGTCAAACAATACAGGCATGTGATCTGAAAAAACATCGTCACCGATTTTCAAATTAGAAACAGAGACATCGCGTGTTAAAACGAGGTCCAGCGTGTGACCGTGTTCTTGGGTGGGACCGATTACCTGCTGAGTTAAATTAAAAGAGTCCAATAAATCTAGAAAGTCCTTCACTAAGGGCTTCTCTTGACAACACACATGCAAATTAAAGTCACCAATAAACAAAAAGTGAGTGTATCTCTGTGTGATATCAGCCCAAAAGTCAGAGAATTCATTTATGAAGTCCTTGGATCGAGGTGGGCGGTAGACGAGTGCACACAGAACCGGAGGAGAGTGTCCGAGTTCAAAGACGCTTAGCTCAAAGCTGGCGCGGGACACCGGGATGGACAACTGTTTACAGGCCAAGTTTGCTTTAAAAACTGTTAATAATCCCCCCCCCCCCC